TTGTTATAAATAGATGCAATCTCTGAGGTCAACCTGTTTTGGTGATCAAGACTTATTGTCATAAATGTTTTATAAAGTGATAAAAACACTAGGAAGAATACTACACAAAATTTCATACAGGTTTATGAGCTTCTCATACCCCTACCAATAATTAGACAATATATTGTGTAAAAAATCTGATACTATAGTATCAAATTTTTCATTCACTAGCATAGGTTGTCTTTACCACAGCAAAAAAAATGGGGTGAATGCAATCTAGTATCTAATGTGATGCTCCCTATAATAAGTAGGCTCATCGCTCTACTAAATAAGCTAACTGGGCATAAATGGTTAAAACCACAACACAATTTAATAAATATACTTTATATAAAGCATTCTTTTCCATATCTTAATTAAAATCAAATGTATACTATATTTTATAGTATAGATATTTTAAATGCACATGAAACTGTTTATAGAAACTATTAACTGATATCAATTCACTGATACATACCAAAGGTTCATAGGTGTCATTGTTTCGTAATTTTTTATCCAGGGCTAGAAGTTCCTTTTTCCTCAATATCAGGCAAATAATTTCATTGAACTGATGGGGATGGTCCTGCTATGCTCTGATTGGTAATAGATGGAAATACTAAACCTTTTTCTATATTGATTAGGCGAGTATTTAACTTTTCAAATCATATTGAATACTGAAAAGCAGCTCTAAACTTTTCATCTCAAATGCTGCAATAAAAAAATAAATCTGATTTAAATAAAAAGCCAATTAAATAGATTAGCTTTTTATTAAAGTCAACACAAAAAACTAAGAAAAAATAGTATAATTACATTCAAAAATATATTAAATGTTTACATTTAATTAAACATTCAAACAAATAACCCATCAATGTAATTCTTTACCAGCAAATCGGGTGCCTAAAGCAGCCACAACAGTTGCCAAGCTCTGGTCAGAAGAGGAAAATATCGGTAGAGAACGATTCAAACTAAATAGCTCTAAAAGCAATTAAAAGATTTCTTCAATCTTGGGGAAACTGATGGATATGTCTCCTCAGTGTCACTTGTTTTGCAAACTGCTAACTTTTTAGCTGGTGGCATGGACAATTTTTCATCACTATCAGCAGCTGTTTCAACGCTTGATGTGAACTCTAATGTTTCCATTCGTTTTAAATTTAAAGAAAAGATAAATATAGCTGTTCAGATCATTAGCATCTAGCATGTGTGTAACATAAAATTACACAAGGAATAATTACATAATAACAACAGATAACATGGCACACATGCTTTTGTTTTTTCATCTAGAAATTCAACCACAGCAAATTTTTTAAACTGCCATCTTCAATTTTACTGTACAACATGTGTATAAAAAAAAAACATGAACAAATTTGAAAAAATAAAAAAAACTACCAAGCATAAAAAAAAAAAAAAAGTTTTTAGTTTAGTGGTTCCACACTTGTGTGTAGTGAGTGACTGGGGCCCCAGCCCCCGCCAAATTTGGGTCTTTTTACAACCCCAGCCACAGCTAAATAATAGTTCTAGCAGGAGTTATAAGATGGGGCTAGCAATTTTTTTTATGCTATTTTATTTTTTAAGCTATAAAAGTTAAATAATATATCCATTATTTAAGGTAAAAAATATAGGGAAATCACAAATATATACATATATATATATATATATATATATATATATTTATTTATATATATATATATATATATATATATATATATATATATATATATATATATATATATATATATATATATATATATATATATGTATATATATATATATATATATATATATATATTTATATATATATATATATATATATATATATATATATATATATATATATATATATATATATATGTATATATATATATATATATATATATATATATATATATATATATATATATATATATATATATATATATATATATATATATATATATATATATATATATATATATATATATATATATATATATATATATGTATATATATATATATATATATATATATATATATATATATATATATATATATATATATATATATATATATATATATGTATATATATATATATATATATATATATATATATATATATATATATATATATATATATATATATATGTTTAAACATACTTTTAAATAAATATTTATATGTTATACTTATAATATAATAATTTACAATAAAAATTTTCAAGATTAAGTAAAAAGTAGCCATTTTATTTAAATCTATGTTTCTTCGTCGGAGTTTAAAGATTTAGGATCCCATACATTGTAATAGTTTAAATTAGGTGGTACAAAGTCTTCAGGAGCCCCACATAAAGATGTTGTATATGAAAGTGCTATTAAATTGTATTTAAAAAAAAAGAAGATTTTTTGTTTTGAGTCTAATACGTTCTTGTTGTATTGATTTCAAAACTTTATACTCACGTTCACTTGTAGTTGGGCTTGGAAGTGAATTTATATTTTTTTATATTTATATTTAATTTTAAATATAAAATAATATAAAATTTAATAATAAATAACAATTTAAAAAGAATTTAAAATCAAAAGTTGTTTATTTAAAATAAAAATAATTATTCTAATATAAAAAAGAATAGCCTTTATAAAACTATTGCAGTTTTAAATTTTGTTATAACTTTTGTATTACTTTTACATGATTATTTAATATTATCATTTTTATTACTATTATTATTATTATTATTATTATTATTATTATTATCATTTTATATTATTATTGTTATTATTATTATTATTATTATTGTTATTATTATTTCAATCAGCCAAATAATCATTAGAATTTTTATGTAAACATATTATGATTAATAGACTCATCACTGAAGTTTATTGCAGTTTCGCAGTTAAGTAAATCATTCGTATTTTCAGCATTACTTATTAAGTGAACTTCACTTAACAAGTAATAAAGTATGTATATATATATATATATATATATATATATATATATATATATATATATATATATATATATATATATATATATATTACAAAGATCAGAATATTGAATATGGTATCATACCATTTATTTATTTTTTTACATGATATTTTGGCTCATATAGTGAGAGCCATTATCAAACTATTAAAACCGTTAAAACAGTTTTGACTGGTTTTATTAGTTTGATAATGGCTCACATTTAATAAGCCAAAATATCACGTAAAAAAAGAAATAAATATTATTATACTGTATATGATGTTTTAATGGTTATAATATTATTATACATACTATTTAAGAAGTCACTTAAATTATATATATATATATATATATATATATATATATATATATATATATATATATATATATATATATATATATATATATATATATATATATATATATATGAGCCTTGTGGTACATATATGTATATATATATATATATATATATATATATTATATATATATATATATATATATATATATATATATATATATATATATATATATATATATATATATATATATATAAATATGTATATATACCACAAGGCTGACATTATTAGGTGTCAAGCAGGTGTCAGCATTTTTACAGTATGTTATAATATTGTAACTGCTATTCATAAATTTAAAACCTTAAAACAGTTAGAAAGTAAATAAAATAGAAAATAAAAAATAGCTAAACCTAAATCTAGATTTAATAATAACTTATTTAAAATTTATTTATTTGCAAACTTATTAAAATGTAAATCATATAACGTACTTGTTACTTAATTGAATATCTTTATAGACTATACAAATCTTGCAGATGCAATTAACTCAAATTGTTTTTATATAAAAGTAAACTTACTATTTCAACCTTTGTCTTATAGTACAGAAATATTTTACCACTTTTTCTCGTGATTCAATCTGTTTATAAATGAACTACAACCACTTCTTCTCATGATTCAATCTGTTTTAAATAAATTACAACCACTTCTTCTCGTGATACAATCTCTAAATTTTCAATTAAAAGGATTTCTTCACTTTTACCACTTCTTCTCGTGATACAATCTGTTTTTAAATAAATTACAACCACTTCTTCTCGTGATTCAATTTGTAAATGTTTTATTAGAAGTACTGTGAACATCAAAGGACAAAACTATAGTTTCGTCCTTTGATGTTCACAGTACTTTTTTATAAAGGACATTATGAACAAGCGATAAAGTTACGCATGCGTACCAATATGTAAATATGTCAATATTGAGTAACGAAAACAAAATAATATTGGGCCAATATTGGCAAACAATATTGCACCAATATTCGCATAACAATATTGGCCAATATTGGCATGTCAATATTGCGCCAATATTACATTCCAATATTAGGAAAATAATATTTGCGTAATATTGGTATGATAATATTGGCCAATATTGATATGCCAATATTGGCGCAATATTGTTTGCCAATATTGGCGCAATATTGCATATCTTGGCCAATCTAGGCCAAGATACCCAATATCGCGCCAATATTGCGCCAATATTGTTTGCTACTTGGGTTAGGTCTCCGGCTAAGAGTAGACCTGAATATTTGTTGCAATCAACACTTTTTTTAGCTATATTTATTATTTTATTTATTTTTTGATTTGTCAATTCTGAAGCATCTGGTGGACGACTTGTTCAACTGTCATTTCTTCAGATGCTAGGTCATATGGAGTCTAAGCAATGTATTTTTTTTTAACATAAATAGCTACACCTCCGCCATGAGATTTAGTTGAATTAGATTTAGATCGATTGTTGTAAAAAACATTATACCCGCTTACATTTATGGCACTTGGATGAGTTAAACCAAGTTTCAGTTACAATAAATATGTCAGGATTATACACTGCTATTTCTAACAAAAACAAATCGAACTTATTGTTAAGTGAAGTCGCATTTGTATATCTACAACATAGATGGTATTTGGGTATTGATTTGCATAATAACACTTCTGATTTAACATAATTAGATATAGGATTATGACAGCTATTACTGCAGATTGATACAAATTAATTGAGGATTGCTATTGCTTTGGTTTTTTCATGAGTTTCACAACTTTAAAATTTCTTATAGTGTAGTAGTATTCATCTTTTTGATTTAGGCTAGCATTTAACAATTTAACTTCGCTACGTAGCTGTTTAATGAGATCTCTTTCGGATTCTGTCATATCTGAGTTAAAATAGATTTCATTTATCTTGTTTCTGTTAATGTATGCAGCTTTTAATACACTTATTTTGTCTGACGCATTGTCTAACTCAATGATAACTGGTGGTATTTTTGATGTGTCTCTTGTTTTGAGTCGGATGACTTTTTTTATTTTATCCTTGTCTGCATTTATTGAGTCAAAAATATTGTTTACCATATCTTCATCACATTTTTTCTTGTCAATGTTATCATAATTTGCTAACTTAACACCAAAAATAATAATATTATTTTTTCGTTTATTACGTTCTTTTTCCTCATGTAGAACCGTGTTTATAATATCATTTTGGCCTTGATTTGTTTTAACTTTTCTTTTTACGACTTCACACACAATTATGTTAATCTTTTGATTTATCTTGGTCTAATTTATTTTCTAATTTATTTCCCCTTCCTTCAAGATTTTTTATCAAAACATCTTTCTCGTCTAGTTTTTTTTCCAATTGCTTTATTTTTTCTTGCATTTCTTGTAGTAACATATTTATGTCTGAATTTTTTGGTGGCATTTTAAGAGTGAAACCAAACCAAATCAACTCTCGTCAATACACCAACTTCAATTTCTCTGATAAGAGGGCTACCACCCTAAAACAGTGGGTTACCTCTGGGTCGTGAACTTGTAAACCTTATTAACACAAATAGAATTGTTAGTTTATTGTGTTTTTTTCGTGTCTCAATTTTTTGACCTGTCAAACAGTCTTAAGACTGACTTCGTGTTTGGTTGAAGCTCGTCGCATAGCACGAGTTTTCTTAGATCGCTAGACCAATCGTTTGTATTTTTTATTGGCATAGAGCTTCTTTAAGTTTTTTCTTTGGCTTTGTGAAATAACTGTTAGCACACGGGCAATGGATTTTCGGAAAACCTCTATTTTACTAAGTTTAGATGGTGAACCTCCTGTAACTTTATTTACATTAAGTTGCTGAAGCTCAGTTTTTAATTCATTCAACTGATGAAAAAGTTTCTTTTTTCCTCTAAGCTCTTGTGCCTTTACTTTAACCATTTCTTGAATTTCTTTCCTTCTTAAGTGACAATAATTAAAAGGAAACTATTAAAAGTAATTTAATGAATTAAAAATATACCTCTGTGAATGATATTAGTCATTAACAAAACCAACAACAATGTATTTAGGAGCATTTATAATAGTACAATATACCTTTGAGATGTTTACAATTAACAAAAAAAAAATAAAAATAAAAATACTTCAATTAGCTCAATCAATTAGTTCAGAACAATCAGACACAAATTTTGTACTCAACTTAATTGTAAATGACTTTGAACTATTTTTATAATTTGTTTAAAATTATTTTAATTAATAAATGTTTGCGCAAATGATAGACAATTTATTTAAATGCTTTTATATTTAAGAAAACAAAGGTTAATCAAGTTGGATTCATAAATAATAAACATTTTTTCACATAGAAAAAAATTTATTTTAGAACCTTATAGCACGAATTTTTTTTTATTTACTTGGGCCAATATAATTCATTTTTAATAATTGTACTTCTTTTCCTGCTTATAATCATAATCAAATTTAAATACTAGCAATTTATTCCTGTAACCGACTGCAGTTAGCCATATATTGGCTTTATAAATTTACAACTTTTTCACACAAAAAAAAGTAGACCAGCTTTTATACGTGGTAAAACTAGACTACGTAACAGACCCATGTAACATTTATACTTTTTGATTATGTTGATTGAAATACAAGTAACACTGACTTTCTTCTGTTGTACTATGTTACTTCAGTAATGTTGATTGTTTCATATGAGAGCAAAAGAGTGACACCGTAGTTTTTATACAGTTTGCTTTTTTCGTTTTTTTTTTTTTTTTGTACCATTTTATCTTATTTAATCTAGTTATTTTGTCAAAATTTTCTTGACAATATTATTAGAAAGCTAGCTAATTATTATTCCACTTAATTACAATATGAAAAGTGGGTAGAGATTGTCATTTTCTGCTAAGTCATTGGTAATGATTAAGCAGAATATGGCAACAAACTAAGATGCAAGCATTTAAATTGCAAAATAATTAAGTATGTTATGGTCAATCTAATTTGATTCGTTGTTTTAAGGGCCATAGTAACAACATCAGTTTTTGCTGTCTAATAACATCTGTTCAACAACATCTGTAAATATAATGAGGTATAACTACATCTGTCCAACAGCATCTGTAAATACACTGAGGTATAACTTTCAGATGTTATTGGACATCCGTCCAATAACATCTGAAATTTCATTGATGTATAATAACATCTGTGTAAAAAGTATACGATTACTACAGATCTTTTCAATTATCCAAGTATAATAACATCTGTGCAACTACATCTGGAAATTTAACAGATGTAGTTACATCTTTTCAATTTTCTAAACGTAGTTACACCTTTTAAATTATATTAAAAATAGCTGCAAGATTTAATAAAATTATTAAATTACAATGCGTTATTTTAACCAGATCTAGTTACATTTGTGGGTTTTTTTCAGATGTAGTAACATCTGCAAAAAAATTATTAAATAATAATGCATTATTTTAACTAGATGTAGTTACTTATATGGTTTTTTTCAGATGTAGTTACATCTGGAGATAATTCTTCCAGATGTTATTGGATTTGGTAAAAAATTACCAGATGTAATTACATCTTCCTAAAGATGTTCTTAGGGGTCATTGAATTTTCAGATGATATTGGACAGGTGTAGTTGAAGTAAAATAAAATACAGATGATCTGGGAAAAAAGTGTAAAGATGATCTTGGACTACTCTACAGATATTGTTGGACAGATCTAGTAAACTTTTACCTGTTTTAATACTAATTCAGACCAAAAAAAATTATGGTTTGTCTAACTGAAATTTTTTTTTAATAAACATAAATTTTTTAATTTTTTTTTTATGTTATTTATATTTGTCAACTTTCAAAAATATTTAAAAAATGTGAAATTCTTACAGAATGATTGATTATCAAATTTTATTAAACAAAAATCAAATTAAAATGCACCTAAAAAAGTTAATTGAAAAAAATATATATTGTATTGATAGGGTAATCAATCATGATTTTCAATTAAATGATTTTGAATCAATTCCTTTAATTTATGGATTACAAAGAGATTGGAATAATCCTGATTTCTCAGTTTTAAATAATTAAAGAAAATTAGTAATAATCTTCCTCACAACAAACCGCAGTTATTTAGCGCTCCAAAACAAACAATGCAATGTTAATTAGGTCGCCTAGCAAATAGGTTTAATCATGGAGAGTTTCCACTCATCCGTTTTTCAACGGGAAAGGCAAAAGAGAACGGAAAAATAATCACATGAGCATGCGCAATTTTCTTTTGGACAAATAAAAACTTTTATTACGCAATTTGTTAATTACGTCAACGTAATTAATTAATTACGTCAAAATAGGGGGAGGGGGTCCGAATTTTTTTGACAAGTGTTGAGAAATGGGAGGGGGGAAAGTCAAAAAAAGTTGACGTCAACACTTTTTTTTTTAATATGTTATTTTTTTATATAAATTTAACAAGTTAAATTTATTAATTAAAAAAAAAGGAAAATTAGGTAGCGTTTGTAGTCCTATGTTACATAGTCGCTTAACCTCCAGTATTTTAATTCCTATCCAATAATTTATATTCCTACTTTTTAAAAACCGTTTTGTGCTTTAAAGACCGACATACAGAACTAAATAACTACACACAAGATGTTTACTCGTAACGCTATTATTTTTTCAAAGTTATTGTTGTCTCAGTCTGCTGTGCAAACAAAAAAGATTCATGTAAGTACATTGTCTGCATTATATTGTTTAAACTTTTGTACAAGGGGTACAATCTGCAGCTCGCAAGCCTCTTGTGGTTCTTTCAATGTCAAGATGAAGCTCTTGACATCGAAATATTATTATCTGCATTATCTGTGAAGTATTATTATAAATAAATGTTATTATCTTGACATGCGCAAATATGATTATAATCAGGGATGCGTAGTCCCAAAAGGACTCCGGTTTTCTATATCTATTTTTTACTTGTCTCTGGTGTCCAAAAACTCTGAACATGTTGGTTGATTTATGATCTGCTAAATAAAAAAAACTCATGAAATTTAATGATTTGAAATATATTGTTTTTAAGCCCGGAGTCCTAGAGTTCTAGCCGCAATCATACCTAAGGACTCCGGGTTTAAAAACTCCTCCTAACCATAAGTTCCTCTAATTTTTGGGACTCCACATACCTAAATATAAAATTAAAATAAAGATTTTGGTAGCTCTTTAAAAATTGAAAAACTTTGTATATTGTAACTAATGGCTCTTCCACCTCAAAAGGTTGCCAACTCCTGGTTTTTACTATTTGCTTTTTTTGTTATTCTAGACTCTATTAAAAAATAATTGGCTTTCACTGTAAATTTGTATTAGGTTTAATTTTATTATTTTGAAATATGATTATAATTTAAACTTGTAAACATTTTTCTGAACCCTTTAATCTTTTTTTTCTTAAAAGTAATTCTTTGTATTTTTAAACTGGAATTATGTTTATAAGTTAAAAGTTTAAATTTTTTTTATACCTTTTACTTTGATTCATTTTTTGTTCAAAGTAAGCATTTGTAATTTTAAATGATAATATTCATTTAAAAATATATTCATAAGTTAAAATTTGAATAGATTTTTTTTCTAAACATTTTACTTTGAACCACTTTTTTGGTTCAGTTGTAAACTTTTTTTCGTTGATCTGCAGGATCGTCTACGCTTAGTATACGAGTGGTAAAACGCTTGGTTACTTAAATTAAACATTTCAAAATGCTGTGTTATCCATTATGGTAAAACCATTCCTATGTATAGTTACTTTTTGCAAAATAACCAAGGTATAAATGAAAGCCTAAGAAGCTCTACTATAGAGCGCAATTTAGGAATCATTTTTACATCTAACCTCAAGTGGAGTACACATATTTAATCAGTTGTCTCCAAATCTTCACAAATTCTTGGTATGCTCAAAAGGATATTCACCATCGTTGATGAAAAAATGGCTCTCAAATTATATAAAGTGTTTATAAGACCACAACTTGAATATGCAGTGTCTGTTTGGGCCCCGTATTTAAAAACTGTCGTAGCTTTGTTTGAATTTGTTCAACGTAAAGCAACAAAATGGGCTTTAAGCTTGAGAAATCTTCATTACTACAAAAGACTTAAAAGACTAAATCTACCATCACTCGAGTTTCGGCGCCTACGATGCGATCTAATACAAATTTTTTAACTAATACATCGATTTGATATAATTAATAATGTATTTCAACCAAAGTTTATTAACTCATTGTCACGTGGTCATCATCTTAAAATAAGACGTGAATATGTTCCAAACTGTCTTCCAAGACACAACCAACTATATAATAGATCAGCAAAATACTGAAATGAACTACCCGAGCAAGTAACTTTATACTCAACTGCACTTTCTTTTAAAATTAGATTAGATCTAATTTTAAAAGAAAGTACAGTTTAATTTTATCCTGGTTGAGGATAAAATTCGGAACGAATATTTATAAAACTGATTGTTTATAGTAGGGTAATATCCCTGTAAGCTGTATGTATATATGGTATGTATATTTTACGGCTACATCTATAATAATAGAAAAAAAATAATAATAATAGCGTAATAATAGTATAATTAGGCTGAATTATAATTACCCCCATCCCTTCCCTCCCAAAAAAATATTGTTATTAAAAAAACATTTTTTTTATTGCCGTATAATAATATATTATTATATTAAAATTTATTGAAAAAAAAATTTGGGGTAGGTACCATTTTCGCCGAGCCCCTCATATAAATAAACGATCTTATATATAATATGTATATATATTTATTAATATTATATATATTATTTATATTACATATATATATATATATATATATATATATATATATATATATATATATATATATATATATATGTATATATATATATATATATATATATATATATATATATATATATATATATATATATATATATATATATATATATATATATATAT